AGCGACCAACCTCAAAAGGCCCCCAAAGGGCAAACTTCATCTGACAAAAACTACATCCCAAGAAAGTCCAAATATATGCAACCTGAAACAAACGGTCATCAGCGCGGCTCACAAAGGTGACCGTTTTTTCTGCACAGTTGGTGAAACCCCACGCACACTTTGGTGCAGCCGCTGAACGCACCAAATGATGCTGTCCCTTCAAGACGAATCAAAGGAGCGTCTGCGACCCAGCATTTGCAGCAGCAAACGAACCCACCTGGCATTATGGTCACCCGGAGTTGCCAGAGTTCCGGGGCACATCCATACTGGCATTATGGTCACCCGGAGTCGCCAGAATTCCGGGGCAGCGTGCGTGAGCAAAGCCGAACCACACCCAACAAGGGCTGGGCGGGTACTCCAAAATAATCCTCAAGCCAGATCTCGCAGGCAAGAGTCGTTGCACTCAAAGGAAAGCAGTTTGCACAATGAAGTTGTGCAGCGCCGGACAATAAAAAATATATTCCGAAATAATCCTCAAGCCAGATCTCGCAAGAGTCGTTGCACTCAAAGGAAAGCAGTTTGCACAATGACGTTGTGCAGCACCGGACAATTAAAAAATATACTCCGAAATGTCTGAACATTTCGAAGGCCCAAAGAATTGCATCAGATCAAGACAAGGAAAATTCCAAAGCTCCTCACTATTTGACCTCCAGAGAAGAGCCGAAGCAAAGGCCAAGCGGTCGACCACAAAGCGTCGAGCCACCAGAGCACAAGAGCCCCACCCACCCACCCAGCACACTGCACACCGTATAGACACACAGGGCACGCCCAGTGAAGCTGTGTGTCTGTGTGTCTGTGTGTCTGCGTGTCTGTGTGCCCGGGTGGTCTGCGTGTCTGTGCGTCTGTGTCTGTGTGTCTGTGTGTCTGTGCGTCTGTGTGTCTGTGTGTCTGTGTGTCCTACACTCAGCGCAGTGTGCTAGATAGGAAATGGGGAGGGGAGAGCCAAATAGCGACCAACCTCAAAAGGCCCCCAAAGGGCAAACTTCATCTGACAAAAACTACATCCCAAGAAAGTCCAAATATATGCAACCTGAAAAAACCGGTCATCAGCACGGCTCACAAAGGTGACCGTTTTTCTGGCACAGTTGGTGACATCCCACGCACACTTTGTTGCAGCCGCTGAACGCACCAAATGATGCTGTCCCTTCAGGACGAATCAAAGGAGCGTCTGCGACCCCAAACGAACCCACCTGGCATTATGGTCACCCGGAGTTGCCAGAATTCCGGGGCACATCCATACTGGCATTATGGTCACCCGGAGTCGCCAGAATTCCGGGGCAGCGTGCGTGAGCAAAGCCGAACCACGCCCAACAAGGGCGGGCTGGGCGGGTACTCCAAAATAATCCTCAAGCCAGATCTCGCAGGCAAGAGTCGTTGCACTCAAAGGAAAGCAGTTTGCACAATGAAGTTGTGCAGCACCGGACAATAAAAAAAATATTCCGAAATAATCCTCAAGCCAGATCTCGCAAGAGTCGTTGCACTCAAAGGAAAGCAGTTTGCACCGTTTGCACAATGACGTTGTGCAGCACCAGACAATAAAAAATATATTCCGAAATGTCTGAACATTGCGAAGGCCCAAAGAATTGCATCAGATCAAGACAACAAGGAAAATTCCAAAGCTCCCCACTATTTGACCTCCAGAGAAGAGCCGAAGCAAAGGCCAAGCGGTCGACCACAAAGCGTCGAGCCACCAAAGCACAAGAGCCCCACCCACCCACCCAGCACACTGCACACCGTATAGACACACAGGGCACGCCCAGTGAAGCTGTGTGTCTGTGTGTCTGTGTGTCTGTGGGTCTGTGTGTCTGCGTGTCTGTGTGTCTGTGTGTCTCTGTGTCTCTGTGTCTGTGCGTCTGGGTGTCTGTGTGTCTGCGTGTCTGCGTGTCTGTGTGTCTGTGTGTCTGTGTGTCTGTGTGTCTGTGTGTGTGCATATGTGCCTGTATGTCTGTCTGTCTGTCTATCTGTAGGTCTGTAGGTCAGTATGTCTGTATGTCTGCGTGTCTGCGTGTCTGCATGTCTTTGTCTGTGTGTGTTCATGTCTGTCTGTCTGTCTGTCTGGCTGGCTGGCCGGGTGGCTGGCTGGTTGGCTGGCTGGCTGTCTGTCTGTCTGTCCGTCTGTCTGTCTGTCTGTGTCTCTGTGTGTGTGTGTGTCTGTGTGTGTGTGTGTCTGTGTGTGTGTTTGTGTGTATGTATGATCTTGTTGTGAATATTATGTTCTGGTATCTCTTATTTTTTCTCTATCTCTCTCTCACAAACCAAGTCAGCATCGGATTCTGGTATCACACGTTAGGAGTGCCTTCTGTCCTGGACTGACCAATCCTAACCAACTCACAGGCCACCCGTTTGTTCTTGTTTTGCTCCTAAAACATCTGGCACCGCAACAAACCGGCTTGGGGATTCTCTCACCAAAGGGCAGCGACCAACCTCTCCGACCACCCGGCAAGGTGACCGATGCACTGGCCTCTTCGTCGTGCTCTCTGGCCCAAGCAATGCCTTGGTCAGGAGCCGCGCCAAGGCCACACAGGTGCTTTTGCCCCCAAGCCGAAAATCTCAGGCGAGGCGCGCTGCAGGGCGTCGGAGAGGTCCGGCTTCAAGGGCACAAAATGCGTCCAGGGCTCCAGCCTCATGGCTCGCTCCCACGACTTGCTCACAGATTCCCAGGAATTCCCTAGACCCATGGCTTTCTGGCCGTCATCCCTGGCATCTGCACCAGGGCACCCTGTTTTGGCTTGTTTCAATCAGAAACTTTATTTTTGAAGCAAGCAACATGCAATTGGGATGGGACTTGTCTCGAAACTCTCGGAGTCAACTCTGGGCTTCCCAACGCTTGCAAGCCGCAGCCCCGCAGCATGGAGGAGCCCGGCATGAAGAGCAGGGAGTTCCCTGTCCTCGGAAAGCGGAAAACGAGAACCTCTACTATGATCATGACCTAACTTGTCTTTAAAGTAGCTGAGAAAAAGGATGTACCCTCAGTCGCCTTGCCCCGAATTTGCAGCTTGGAGTGTTGTACAGCTGAGTCAAAAGGCATTGAGGGTTCAAATTCCCGAGCCACCAATCCAAATCGCCTATTCTTCTCGGATTTCATTGGTGGTTTGGATTGGTCCTTTGGAGAGTTCTTGTGGACATGGGAGGCAACCCAAGGAACGCCTAAATCAAAATCAATTCAAATAATCACACAATAAGTCGAGGCTGATCGTCTCACCGCCGATAGGCAAAAACATTCTGTAAAACAAGCAGGACATGGAGAAGCTGTGCGGATTTAGAAGCGAAGGGACAAAATGATACTCCCACTTGTTGCCCCAGACCACTGTTTCTCGAAACACGGCCACCATTTGTGAATCTAAATGAGTTCTAGGATGCTGCGCACATGACTTTCCTTTGCTGCATTAATTAGAACCCGGTTACGGTCCCCCTGTGAAGCTAGACTGGAGTGGGCGTGGAAAACACGAATGGAAAGTGTCATGCGGGTGTGCCGCAATATCAAAAATAAACACACACACACACACACACACACACACACACTTGTGTATATATATATATATACCCCTGGTTTGTATGTGTATGTGTGTATATGTATATGTATATGTATATATGAATATGCATATGTATGGATATGCGTGTATATATGTATATGTGTAGATGTATAGATGCATGTATGTACAAAGGTATAGATGTGCATATGTGTACATGTGTATATATTTTTGCGTGTGTACATGTATCTCTATATATATACTTTTATGCCTTTCTGCACATATGTATTTTTGTACATGTGTACATATGTACATATGTACATATGTATATATGTATATATGTATATATGTATATATGTATGTATATGTATATATGTATAAATGTATATGTATATAAGTATATATGTATATATGTATATATCTACAACATGGTAAGCTTGTTTTACCCCCAGGTGAGCTCGCCGCAGAATATGCACAGATATGGATATATAGAAATAGATATATAGACAATGTATTAAGTATAAACACGGATGTATGTATAAAGATAATGCCACCAACAGGATCCAGAAACTGGGCAGTGAGCGACTCAAAGGAGTCTAGACGAAGCATCGAGCACGTCATTGAAATTGATCAAACTGCTATCCCAAAACTTGACCCACATCTGGAGTACACAAACAAAAAATGTTTCAGGTCCCGCTTCATATTAAGTCTGCCCTAGAATATGTTGCAAAAAAAAGGAGACTCCAGGAAAGGGAGGGTGACTTGATCAAGTTCTGTAGAGCTGGTGCCTGGCGTGGATTCTGTCCACCAGTGTCGTTTACCACCTGATTACACCACAGTGCCTTGAGTACTCTCTACCAAACCAGAAGCCCTGAGCAAGCGAACCCAGCAACGCCAAAGGACTGCGCTGAACAGATTCCGGAACATGGCAGGCAAGGCCAAAAGGGCACAGTTCTGGCGCAAAAGTCGCAAAGTCAAAATGGCGAAATCTCCTCGGCGGTTTCCAGCTTGCAATCCAGGCAATCCCTTTGCGTCCTGGTCATACCCCAAACTGGGTCCAGCACGCCATCCAGTAGATGCGGTCGCTGTCGTCAGTGACCAGCAGGTACTTGGCCCGGAACCTGGATTGCCATTCCCATAAGTTCAGGATAACCAAGCAGGGTAATCCAATAGGCTACATAAGTACTGATGGTTTGTTTACCACTACAATCATGAAAAGGTTTGGCGTTTAAGTACACCACGACCTCATCTAACTATTTAGGCCCTCATAGCGGACGCCGGTTGGCAAAGATGGATCATGCGCCTCAAGGAACATCACCCCCGGAAAAAATGCGAAACTGGAATGCGGCTGGTCGGACTTACAAGATTGCAAAGGGCAATTGCGTGGGTAGGGGTTGCAATGTCAAAGCTCTCTCAAGCCGAAGATTTCTACAGGCATGGCAAAGCCAAGATACCCAAGTTGATTGGATTGTTGCGCATAGTTTGTACTGCGCTTTTGCGATCTGAACATTCTTGTTGTGGCTAAGCTTCCGAAAGTCTTGCCTGATGAGAATTGAAAGCAACTTGTGCACGAGAACACCACACCGATCACCAGCTGCAACTAACCAAACTGACTTTCACGCCGCCACCCCAGGCCAACCTAAGCAAGCAGACTAAGGTCCTATCTCCAAAGTAAGGACTGGCCAACAAGTCCCCTTTTGGGCAGGCCACGGGTGGTTCCCCAGACTCGAAGGAACCAAAGTGTCAGGCTAGAAGCGGCACAGTCCTTCACCTCTCTCAGACCAAGAAATTCGGAAAAAGTCAGAGGCCAAACGGTCCCCTAACAAATATTTTCCAGCTCCCAGTCGTCATTCAGAGAGCAAGGCCTGGCCGATTGAGCTGTCCAAAGTGTCCGGAAACTTGGTGAGACCACCAGGTCCCTCGAAAATGAACCTTGGCCGAACCCGTGCCACACACTGGGTTGCCGGCTGCTTCTCCAGCATGCTCGGCGGCCTTAGAAGGGGCTCTGCATCCCTGGTTGTTCGATTCGGCCAGCACGATCGCGGTGCAGAGAGAGGTACGCAAACAACTCAAATGTTAGGCGCTTGGCGGCTCCAAGATCTCTTGAACAACTTGTGGAGACGTCTGAAGCAACTTCACATATATTGTTGCAAGCGTCTTCCCCAAAGTATTCAAAGTTTCTACCATTCTGCGAAATTCGATTAATGTTCACACCGCCCCGTCTGTTTTGTTGGGGAACAAATGACAATGTCTCAAATTGGCAGTCCCCTGTTGATGTCTTTTGAAAGGGAACCAGCATACCATCGCCGGCTGATCTGAATGGAAAGAGAAAAGCTAAACTGTTCTGGCAAATTAATTTGAAAGGATTTCCGAAACCAGCTCCGGAAAAGGGCAAAACCGGTGCCATCGGACACCTGGCGCAAATGGCAATGACAACAACACGCACCCGCCGGATACGCCCCAAGTCGATTTGAACGAGATCAATCCTCCCGAATCATTCCACCGAGCAACTATACAAATCACCCAACCACCCGACCACCCGACCACCCACCCAATCATCCAACCATGCGAAAGGCGCTCCAAACCCGAGCGGTCCCAAAGTGTCCGGTGTCCCAACCCGGAGGCTTCACCACTGCTGAGGCGAAGGGCTCGTTCTGGTCCAGCCAGCCCTTCTCCGTGAGCAGTTCCTGAACCTCGCTGATTTCAAATTTCACAGGAAGTTCCTACCATGACCCTCAAAGGGACGGGTTCAGAAACCAAAAGGAAAACCACCATTTCAAGGCGTCGTTGTCAAAAGGTACTCAAAAAATCGCAAGAATCAAAACAGGTGTTTATTATAATTCAGACTTGTTTCAACATTTTTCCAGTCACCCCCAAATGATTTCTATTTTCAAAACATACTCCGCTGTAGTTTTCCGAGCGACCCTTCATCGTGACCCCGATACGTGGCGATTTTGCGCGAGGAAGCCTTCGTTTCCTGCATGTGGGAAGGGGTTGGGCTCCTTTGATAGGAACTGGCACTTTCTTTGAAGCCTTAGTTTGGGATGCCTTCCGTATCACTTGGTTTTTTAGGGTCCTGCAAGGTATGCCAGCCCAAATCCGATCGGCATGACATGTAAGTCATGACCCCTGAGGTGGAACAGCAAACGTCGACACCGAGCCTCCTCTGTCATGCCCGCAGCGCTGGTGAACTTGACGTCCACATATCCTGCCGTCCAATTCTGTAGACCCCCGGTGCACTAGTGAGCCGGCTGGCCCCAGAATTGCAAGTGGCTTGTGTGTGTGTGTGCGTGTGTGTGTGTCTGCGTGTCTCTGCCTATGGCTGTGTATGGGTAGTTCCCGCAGTCCTATGGATGACTTTTCGTTTGGCAGCCAAATCGTCGTTTCGATACCGAGCGACTCGCAATGCCCTTAGTTTCCAGTTTTCTCCGGCATCCAGGCTGGTGCGTTTCAACAGTTGCACACAAGATTTCCTGGCGGCCCACGACTGAAACTGAACCGTGTTTCAAGTTGAATGCTTGGGGTAGGAGAACTTCCTCGAGGGGGAGAGAGGGGAGGAGGAGGTGGAGGAGGAGAGAGAAAGAGAGAGAGAGAGAGGGAGAGAGAGAGAGAGAGAGAGAGCGAGAGCGGAGAGCGGAGAGTGAGAGCAAACAATCTGGAAGCCAAAGCACCTTCACTTTGCTGAAGGACCAACGTGCTACCAAAGACACACCGCACACAGGTTTGGTCTTGGCAACAGTCCTCATTTGAGAACATCCCGCATCCTGACAGGTTTGTTGGCCCAGCCCTTTGAGACAACAGAAACGGCCAACGTCGAAAGTCCTCAAGAATGTTTCTTGTGGATGGCCATGCTTTTCATGGAGTAGGAGCGTGGCAAAGTGGTGGCCCTAGTTATGCGTCGCTTTCTACACAAAAGGAAGCTACTCTTGATGCCTTCTAGCACGGTTGGGGAAAACCACCCTGTATTTAACTTAGGGCATTTTCTTGGGATCACAAACAACGGCCGAGAGTTGGGGAACGCAACAACCAAGAGAACAAGCCCAGCAAGTCCACGGGTGAAAGCATCAGACCGGATCAAGATGAATTCAGGCAGGGGGAAACAACCAACTGATGCTCGGGTCTATGCCGACAGATTGCCATGACCTATGGGAATGAGCATTGAAATCGCGCGCCAACGCCGCTCGGCGTTCAAACTGTGTTATTTTGCGGGGGGCATTCCACTTGCCCTCTTTGCCGAGGGGTGAGGTTTCAAGGGGACCATGGGCATGTGTCAAACTGGGACCTGGAAAGATAGTGCGTTTGCTTTGGTTCCCCTTTAAACCAGCCCCAGAACAACACACCCCCCACACCCCACATGAGGCCCATTCCCGTCAAAGCTCAACGAAACTCTGGCCTGGGGGTGCAAAGCTCTGAAGCAGCGCGGCCCGGCCACGCACACCCAGGTGCCAATGCCTGCAATGCTGCAGCCCAAAGAGGAAGGAAGACATAAGCCTTTTTCAACACGAGGACTCTCCGTTGCACATTATGTGTATACATATATATATATATGTAGTTCGATCTGTTTTCCGCGAAGAGGCGGGGGGCTTTGGGACCCTTGGTTCACTTTCGATTGGGTATGAACTTTAATCTTTGGACATCATGGGAGCCGCACACGTCCGAGGTCCCAACCAAAGCATCCCCCAATCCTGGAGGATCTGTTTGGGCGTGTAGGGGGGTCTAATCTGCAGGAGTGCACGAAGTCGTGCAGGGGCATGTTCCGAAATTATTGCCAGAAAATCTCGTGTTTTTGCGAAAGCTATAGCAGACCGGAAGGAAGGGCGCCCACCGGTGAATTCACGGATGTCCCCCAGCTTCCCGCCCGTCCCGCGGACTTGAGCCCAGGCGCGTCAAGTTCCACTGGCGGTTACTGTGATGGTCCTCGCAGGCAGTTCATGCTAAGCAACTGGTTTTGAAGGTCCAAGGGTCGCTGCGAATCAGACAATGCACCGAGTTCTTGCATGGACTTCCTGCACAGGACACCTGGCCAAATGCAAGTTGCAGGAATTGGTGAGTGCACAACAGGGGCCTACAAATCAGAATGGAAAGTGTGGGGTACTACGGTGGACGGAAGAAATCTGCACCGCCTCAGAGTGTGACTTCCATAAGCATCATAGGGCGCCAACCCCTCGCCCTAAATTCAATGTTGGACAGTGACGCATGCGTGCGAGATGTTTGAAAAATTGCACGGTTCGGTGTGCCTTTCAAAGAACCAATGCTAAAAGTTGGGAGCGCGAGGCGTGACAAGAATGTTCTCATTTTGGTGGTGCAGCAGTTCTTCCGTCAACAGCATTAAACTAAATCACCTCATGAACATGGGAGAGTAATGTTTTCCATCTGCTAGCCTGTGCTGTTTTCCAAACGTCATCCTCTCAACAGAAGATGACAATTACTTTTGACTATTGCTCACATAGCAGAACCATCCGTCTGTCCTTCAGCGGCACACAGTCACCATCACCACCTCAAGGCTTTTTCGTCGGGCGAGGTCCCTTGTTCCGCGAACGAAGGGCCCTTGCTACAAAAACTAAATTTGCTTGCTTCTTGATTGTCGTGCAAGCCTTTGCTATTGCCTGTCCGTGTGCTGATCCCTACAAGTTAGCCAGTTCAACACTGCATCCTGCAACCAATGCTTGTGCTGCCTCGTTCAGCCGTCGGTCAAGCCCGTGGGTATCTGTTCTGATCGCACAATGGCATCAAAGAATCAGCTTGCTTCCTCATGCAAGATGTTGCCCAAGCAACCAGCCAAACCCTCCATCCTGTCTTCACCATGTGTGGTCCCAGAACTTGGCAAGTGTTGCATGTCAAACTTGAGATTCGAGAATGTCAAAAAAATGGCTTTCATGGTGCTAATCATGTCTTTGAACTTGTGATGTGGCAGTGCTAGAACAGTTGCTTGCTTGCGTATAGCCCCTAGGTATTCATCTGCAACTTCTTCTGACACTTGCGTGAAGGGCCTGTGTTGTCCTGGCTATCTGCAACTCTCCTTAAACTGCGAGATGCGACATATGCAATGCTCAGCTGAAGAGGAAGGCCTCTCATGGTGTCCGCAAAGGACCCAGCTCCTGCTCATCTGACACCCCGTGAGTGACAAACTGACCTGAAACGACACCTCTGTGAAGCACAAATTTGTCAAGCCTAGCCGGATGTATCAAGCTGCCCATGTGAGCCGCGGTAAACATTACATCAGTTTCTCCAAGAGGACATGGACTCTTAGACGCTTAGTCAGTCCGCTGTTGTGGTTGAAACTTACATGTCCCTCCCAAGGAAACAAAGCCTGGTAGTTTCGGCTGAACCTGTGGAGGATGCCCACTGGGGCCCAGACTGGGCGGGCAAATCCACCTGCACAACTCAGCGCCGCGCAAAACGAGGAATGAAATCCAAAAAGTTGTCCACCTCCCAACCAAGCAAGCTACCAACAAACCAAAGCCAACCCAGCCCTTGCCGGCCTATCTACTGGGGAGTCCTATGCCTGAAACCCCAAACCTGCCCTCGCCTGCCAGTCATGCCACCGCGCCAGAAGAGAACCTCCTGCTTGGACCTCCAAGGGTACCTGGCACCGGACTCCTCTGTCAAGTGAGTCGGGCCTAGGAAGTTCTAGATGCGTCTGAGAGTCTAGGCATTGCTCGAACCAAGGCTTGTGCCAGAACGATTTCAAGATGTCATTCTTCCTGTTGCAAGTACTCACTTCCTGAGTGGACCGGGCAACAAAAGCCTACACACTAAAAGGGACATTCCAAAAAGTTCACAGTGTCCAGGAACTCGGGGAGCGAGGTGACCATTTCTTATCATGGTTTTAACCTTCACGAAACGGATCCCAAGCAAGTTATTGGCAGGTAAAAGCATCTCAAAATCGGGAAGCCCCGAATTGGTGCTTTTCCCTAAATTTCCCCGAGCCCCGTAAAGGATGCCACCAAAGACATCAAGTCGATTTCCTTCGAAGGCGCACAGCTGCTTGCGGAAACCGTTGTGCAAAACATCTGTCTACGGCAATCCTTTGGAAAAGCAAATTGGAATGGGTCAAAATAGGGGGACACCCAAGAAGGATGGGTTCCCCTTTGGTTTACCTGAAATCAACCCCAAAACCAAGCCCCAAAAGGGTACGCTCAAGAACACCACCCCAAATTGCAATACCCTGGGCACGTCCTTGGGTCTCAACATTTCAGGTGAATTCTCCTGCCTTCCAGGGGTGCCATTGTCTCAACTGCCAGCTTCAGAAGCAAGCACGAAGAACTCCAGCGGCGCTCGACGGCTTCCCGCTGAAAGCCCAAGGGCTCCACCCTCAAAACTCAACACCCCGATCCAAATTTGTAAAAGAAACCCGGCGAGTGTGGGTCCTCTGGCCAACTCTTTCCCCAAACCGGCCTCATCACACCGCCTCAAAGGGCCCAAAGAAAGACATGAGCCGCAAGGTTTGGGCGGCCAGGTGGCCCATCGCCCAAAATGTGTTGCCCCGAAATGAGCGCCTCAGGCTTGAACAAGTTCAAGGGTTGGGTTGGACGTGTATCTGCAATTTGCACAATCTCAAAGCCTGAAATCGGGGATCCTAAGCAAAGGACCTGCATCTGGTGAGCTTGCTTTGCGCCACAGGTGAGCTCGCAATAAAATCGGCAAATGTGTATGGCTGGAGTGCAATCGTCTGTGGTGCGATGTAGATCACGCTGGCATGCGACTGGGTGAATCGCGGGAGTTTGCGTGGCCTGCTTCTGTTTCCGGATGCTGGTAGCCTCAAACAGACCCAGTCAGACTCAATCGGACATTGAACATTCCTTGACGTGCATTTAAAACTCGTGAGGAACATGTGCTTCAAGGAGCCTTTGAATCAGTAAATTGAGAAGAATTGAGCTCGCCAGAACCTTTGGCAAGTTCCAGGCAAAACTCATGAGAAATGCGAAAGGAAACAAAACCTATTCCAAACAAAGGACCTCTGAAACTCAGCAGGCAAAGTGCTTTAAAAAAACTGGCCGAAGTACTTCAGCAAGGAAGCAGCCGGTACCCTTCTTCAGCATTAGGGGCTAAAAATATGGGACCCATGTTAAACAAGTTGGATGCTTGAACGGGAAACGGGAAAGCAACCGATATGGCGGGCGCCATCCATTTGTGTTCAGGACGGCCGATCCCGCTGACTCGTTACGGCGCTGAGTCCGGGCAACCCTGCTGCGCACGCGGTAGTTCATCTGTCTGCCCCAGTGACCGAGCAGGAACCTGAGGCGCAGAAAGAAGAAAACAAAACTGGCTTCAACAACTGGATTGAGCAAGTATGAATCTGCCACGCGAGCTCCCCGCACAGGAGCTCATGGGAGCGGTTTCGGTGGCGGATATTTCTTCAGGAGAAACAAAAAGACGATATAAACACATGGAATGCTCGACCTTACGCTTCCCAGATCACGCTCTGTGAGCACCAGCACCGTTGAAAAACAATTTCCGTTGTGCCAACTTGAGAGGAGATCAAATGAGGGAGCGGCTGAGCCGTCCAGATCTCAGGGTGCAAAAAGCCCAACTCCTTGCGCTTAAGCAGCGCGCGGCGAAAGCACTACTTTGTTCATGGCGATTTGAGCTATCGGTGCAGGGTGAAGGATGTGGCCTTCAGCCGAACTTGAAAGCCGGCAAAATAAATGTCGCCCAGGGCGAACTGCCGCCTTTTCCACATCAGGACACCTCTTGGAAGCCCTCCCAGCACCAACGAGCTACTTGCGATATGATGCCTCCACAACCCCCTCTTCAAGGTAGCTGCGCTTGCAAAAGGCAAATATATATATATATATATATATATATATGAGCAGAGCCGGCGCTCCCGCAAAAGCCGGTTGAGGCCAAATTTGGTGGGATTTGGCCAACTGCCTCTACCGTTTCCCCGTGGGAAGCACCGGACCTGCCTGGGCAAAAGGAGAACGCTGACTGACTATTGGCGTGTAAGTTGTGCCGTAGACATCCACTCACGCAATGATCGGCACCAAGACCTCGGAAACAGCAAGCACTGAGCACTTGTTTCCAATGGGCCGGTTGAAATGAAACCAACTCTGCATCTCACGCGTGTGGAGAGCCCATATCTTGCCCTACTGGCGGCCAAACCCAGCTCATACTATCACCCAGGAACCGGCCCAAATCGCCTCCACCTATGCCCAGGGCCAACATCTGCCACAAAGGCAGTGAAAACTGTGCCACACAGCCAAACTTCAAGCGGCCAAGAGCCTTCAGAATGACGTGAGTCATCGCCCCCTTGCCATCCTGACCCCAGGCTCTCAAGGGTGTCTGTGCAAGTCAGAGATGCGGCCCCCGACGCATGCTCCGGAACCTCTCGTTCCTTTTTGCCGAGAAATCCACACCCCCCACACCCCCTTAAGTGAGAAGAATATGGGGTAACACGTGTTGGTTCTTGGGTTCGTTTTCCCGATCCAAGCTTGTTTTCGGTCACACGACAGGAAAGGATGTTTGCAATCTGTACAAACCATATACATACATATATGTGTGTATATATGTATATACATAGATATATCTCTTTTGTTACTTCATGGTTTTGGTTGGGAGGCCCCAAGAAACCAAAAGGCGCCGCGCCCGCTGATATCCGTCGGAGGCGCTTTGCCCGAGGTGTAGGTCACCACCACCACCTCGCCGGGGGCAAGGGTGAGGCCTTTCACGTCTACCTCGGCACGAGCGGAGCTGACCAGTTGGAGTTGAGGAGTTTGGCCCTCCAAATAATGCAGAATTAGCAACATGTTTTGCCAAATGAAAAGAAGCCAACATCGGCAGAAAAGGCGTCCCTTTTCAGGTTTCCCATCTATTTGTCCACCATTTGGTAAGAAGACCAAAGAGCTAGCTGCACCCTTGCCATTCTGTTCACGGATCCGTCTCTTCAGAAGATGTAGAAGATGTGCAAAAGTTAAAAGCCGAGGAAATGAGCTGCTTCTGCAGATAATGATGTGTTAGATTGTTTGGACGACTTGGTTTACAACACCGAAAGCGGCTGTGTGAACCTGCTGACCAACCGACCAAGCAGCAACCCAGACAGAAAGCAAAACCAGCAGCAACAAAACAGATCCTGCTTTGTGGAGCTCACACGCCATGCGGCCTCTGCAATACGGCACAGACGGTGTCTGACCCATGCACCAGACCAAGGCAGTGGCGACCCGGAAATGCAAACACGGAGCAACATCTTCTGATTCAAGTGACACAAGCCCTGAAGGAACCCTTTCAAAGGCGCAAAAGCTGATCAAGGCTTGACCGAGTCGCGAGCCTCTAAAACAAGAAGTCAGTCAAATCATCCTAACCGTAAGCGAACATTACACCCACGAGACCCCACAATACCTGTGCCATGAGAAGTTCGAGATGCCATTTTTAAACAAATATGGACTTGGGCAAGGGGCCTTTTCCAGATGGTAGTCTTGCACACCCCCCCCGCCCACTTCCATCCTTGCTGGAAAGAGGGTACCTCCACAACCCAAATTGGAAAGCTCGTGTCTAGGTCCAAATCGCCTCCGGGCGTTTGCGCGCAATCTTGCCGAACAACTGCCAGAAACCAATACAGATCCTCAAGGACAACCTTTTTGAGGTGGCCCAAGTTAAAGCTTGACAGCGCGCTCAGCGCGCTCTGTCGCCAGCACAGCCCGGCCTCCTCCCGCGAGGCGGTGGAAAACGCAAGCTGCACCTTGCTGGCCTGCAGAGTGGTACCCTTTGCTTGCCCAGGGCAAACCCTCGTATTTTGAGGGTACCTTTATTTGGAGGCAAACCCGTCGTGGAAGAAACCAACAATCATGCAAGTGGATGTGGGGCCTTTCCAACATGCTATTTTTTCAAAACTCTCCGAACGACCACTTCCATGTTTGTTGAAGAGGGGGAACCCAGCATGAACTACCTCCTGGTTGCTCGGGAGGGTCCTCGTTTCAGAGGGTATTCTTGACGTTTGGGGGGGGGGGGTGGGGACTTGCGTGCGGCCAACACCTTTTCAAGAACCTATTCTCGAGCATCCCAGTTGAGTTGCAGCCATGTTTTCTTGGCGGGCGGGGAACCGGAGGTCACCATGGACTCTGAAGAGCTGGGCTACAGTCAGCATGCAACCGCAGTCCTTCAGTGATATGAGATTTGGGTGGGTGGGGGCCCCCATGTCGTACAAGATGAAGGCAAGTTCAGGGTAGCAAATATCAGTTGAACACAAGCACAGTTTCAATTGCTTTGAAGATCCTTGCAAACGCTGGAACAGGCGTTTCTTTACCACATGATTTTGGGAAAAGAATGGCCCACCTGCAAAAGGAAACCTGCCTCTTGTTTGGGTCCATGCATTTGTGCAACAGCGGTTGCTAAATTGCAACCTTCTTCCCTCAAAGGAACTAGGAAAAATGGGTGAGCCACTTGGTTTGCAAATGGGGAGTTTGGGTGACTAAAGGATGCTCGATTGCAAAAACAGTACTAAGCAGACCAGCCATCCATGGCTGGGCCCTCTCAGCAAATCACCACGGAGATCCCGAGGCTCTGACGCATGGGAAGCTCCAAGGAATCCCAAAGTTGGACCATCATTGAGCTGTCATGGGAGCATATGGAGTTGTCTTTGGGGGGGAACCCCTTTTGGTTGCTGTACAGGCCTCCTAAACATTCCGTCACCCGCTTTACAAGGAAATCCTCCAAATCAGCTGGCGGCGATTTTCTCTCAAATGTATCGAAGGGAAACCACCTAGTCACTAGGTCAAAAATAGGCCTTTGGACTGGATTTCGGCTTTCCCGGTTCCCCTTTTTAGCCAAGAGGCCAAGAGGATGGGAAAGATATATCTTTCCCTCTGAGCCAACCGAGGTACCCATCAGACGTTCAACCCGGGCACCCGATGCCGTGCTTCCCCCACGCGCTGCGCCTCCAGCAGCGCCTGCAGGTCCACGCTCAGGACCTGCGACCTGCTTCGTTCCCATGTGTTTTTGTTTTTTTGTTTTTGTTCTTTTCTTTTAAGGGAAAAACCGGAGAGGTTGCGGCACACCCGGAAGAATCCTAGCAAGTGCTTCCGAATGCGGTTCAGTCCCCAAGAGTGCAAGGTTGAAACTTTGTGTGTTGCATAAGTGTTCATTCTAACCGGAACCTCCAGGGTCCAGAGCCTTCCTCAAAGCAATCGCTGAACCCCAGTGGCTTGAGCTCCCATGTTGGGAACCAACTCCTTGCCTGGTTCATTTCCCCCAGAAAGAGAATCAACTCCTGAACTGGTTTCAGGCTATCTTGAAGAACAAAAATGGAATTGAATCCTGCGATGTGAGTGTTTCTCAAAGGGGACCGACTGCTCCTGGGCTTCCCTTGCCCATCCCAAAGGGGGTTCTCCGTTTGCGCGTCTTTCTATTTTGGTTGGTAAGGGGAAGCCCAAAGGAAAACCGAAATGCATTTTGTGGGATCCCGAATTTAGGAGAAACTCATTTTGAGCCCGAACCCTCCGTGCGGATTTACCATAAGGCCAAGCTGCGGGTTCCAGTTGGCCACTGTCGCTGCCTCGAGCTTGCGTCAGCCATGCGCTTTTGGTGCAAAAACCATATGCCAAACTCAGAAGGTGTTAAAAACTGACAGAAGTCTGCTGCACCCCCTAAAGAAGTGAACAGAAGTCTGCTGCACCCCCTAAAGAAGTGAAAAGTGTTAGCATGTCGCATTCAAGGAGTGAACATATCACGTCGGGTTGCTGTTGTTGTCTCATCGCCCATCGTGTACTTCGCCACGACCAAATCTTGATTGAGCTGGCCCAAGTCTCCTGTCCAGTCACGCCCGACGTACGGTCACGTAGCCAGCAATCTGGCTTTGGCAAGTGGGGCGTATTTGGCGGTGGGGAGTGCCACTATGTTGCCAGACTATGATGTTCTAGGCAGCCAAGCTTCCAATGCACACGACCGGAACTTGACAATCCCCACGCAGGGCCTTGGAGGGATCTTCGTGTTTGAAAGTGCCACTCAAATCGAATGGAGCGCGCAAGAGAAAGCTATTTTGAATCCTCAATATTTGCAACAGAAAAAGAACCCCCTGAATTACCATCTGGTATGACTTCCAAAAGCAAGAAGGCACCATTTCATTGCCACCCCTGACCTGCAAGCCTGCCACGTTGGGCTCCAGTCTTTTGCTGTCGGTATGACAAACGCGAGAAATGCGATGGAAGAGACCAAAAGGCCGGACAATCATCCAGCATCCTGCCCCTGAAATGGGAAGAGGCTTGGTGGCTTGGCATTGGGTCCGTTTGATAGGAACCCCTGCATCTTCCCCAGACACCTGCTTACACATGCTGAAACACCTGTTTAAACAATATCATTTCAAACATGTCCCTTTACATGGGGACACCGGTTTGTCTGTTTAATAAATTTTGCCCAACGCCGACCGCCAGAACCATAGCCGCTCCTGGCACCTCCGTGATGCTGCCCAAGGACAGCGTGGGGTGTCTGCTGCGCCAGGCCAACGTGGACCGCATCACCGACAAAGGCGAGGTCGACGCCTTGGCCTCCTCGGATGTTCACAACGGGCAGAAATGGCAGCCATAAAACATAAAGACCCAAATGACCACAAGATTGGTGCGACACTGGGCGGCAATATGAAGGGCGAAAGGACTCGACACGCGATTTCTCGCATGAACATGATTCCACAAACCTATTTCAATGGCACGGAACATCATGGTGGTGCAATGGCGTGGTCCATTGGGAAGTGCACTTGATGCTTGGCCATCATGCTATCCAAGGCAGTCCAAGGACAACTAGCACGTCAATTGTTCAAAAGAACATGAGCGCAACCTGGGTGTCTTAAAATAGGGGTACTCAAAAAAAAGGATGAATTATTGGTGGCTTGCCTTAAACCACTCCACAAGAATACCCTCAAAACAGGCACACCCCTGAAATGTGAGACAAGGAAACCTCCCTATGATTCGCCGCGATTCGCCACCAACTTTGACAAACACCGACAAAGCCAGAAAAGAGACAAGTGGTTCTTTGCTCCTGACCCCCTCTATACTCTAAGCTAATAGTCTAAGGAACCGCACGACCAAGGCTGACATCGGTCTCTGCCAGCCTTTGCTCCAAGGGGCTGTTTCCACATTCACCGTCACATGGTCGGGGTTCACCTACGGGCCAAAAGGCTGCCCAAGACAAACCGTTTCCCAGGCGTCTGTTTGGAAAACCGGAACAATCTGTCAGGACATTTGATCCAAGACTCACTTCGCCTTCAGGAGCTGGTAAACAGTTCGAGCTATCTGAAACCGGCGCCATCTGTTTCAAATGAGCTTTGCGTGTCTTGTGCTTTTGTCCCTTCGGTCTTGATGCTTTAAGACATGGTCAGCCCTATGGTCTGCGGTCCAGAATAGATTGCTACCCTCCCGAGTGCACAGGCTTGCTTTAAGAGTAGGCTCATCTTGGAGAGGTGTTCGCTTGTGCGCTTCCATGATATGAGGTTGCCCTAAATGGGAAGTGAGTCCTTTGGATGGTGTTTCAACGGACACCAAAAGGACAGTCCCATTGCGACTTTGGGGAAACTTCCATGTTTGTTTGTGTGAGGACAATGCTCGAGCGTACTCTTGACCTAGATTCGGGCCTCTTTAGAGGGCTGGTTTCATGCTAGTTTTTGGCTCTGCATCCTTCACTGCAATTCCATCCGTAAGTAAAGGACCTAACTACATTCTGGTGAGCTCGTTTTACCCCCAGGGGTCACAAAATAGGTAGATATGTCAGAGTCATCAACCAAAAAGGTTCCAGCTCAAAAGAAGATACATACCCCCCAAATGCCAAGAGTTCACGCTCAAGGTATTTCAAGGGGACCCTCTTGGCAAACCTCCTGGCTCCCCGTTAATTAGATCGCGTCCAAGGACAGGGGGTCTGAATCCAAGCGGCGGGCAACCAGGTTCGATTGCTAGTGGAGAAGCCAGATTGAAAGCCTTGCAGGGAGGCACGCGCAAGGCTTGCCCCGCGTCAAGAAATGGACTCCGGAAGGGAAACCAAACCGGGATCCATTCCCGAAAGCACATTCCGATCCTACAAATTTGATGGGTCTAAAATTTGCAGGGGATTAGGTAGTCAAACTGGTGGCTTGGAAGGAGGGTGTTCTAGCTCACAGCACATTAGATGCGTTGCACCCTTTGCACCTTTGAATTTGAGGTGCATCAGCATGTTCAAGGAGGTTCCGATGTGAGGTTGCCAAGTGTTCCTTTTACTTTTCACAAGAGGAACTCCCAAGACTACTCCTGCCGCAGGTTTCCTCCAACATGGAACCAACCTCATACTGATCAACCGGCTTGGCAACTCTGATTGCATGTGTGAAAAGGAGCAGGTGCTTGATAGGCGTTCTGATAGTTGCATGGCGATTGAACCAGTACTAGGACTGGTTCCTGGACAAAATCAGAGTGGGTGGGTGAAATGGTGAAACTTATCCTTTATAGACGACTCAATTGAATTTAGGTATGGGAAGACTATTGTTGCAGAACATGATCTCAGCCCCTTTTTCTACCGCTCCTGGTGTCCACTGCATGGGCGTACGCTCCGGGTCGCGGCCAGTAGTGGCAAACATCTCGGGGTTCTTGAGGCACATGGGGTCGCGGCACAAGGAATACCTGCGTTTCTTGACGGTACGGAAACCAAAAGACAAACCACCATTTGAGGGCCAGAATCCATATCTTGAAGCAAAAGCAAAAAGAGCTCCTACTGGGCAACAAGCAGCAACGGCAGCAGCAGCAGCAGCAGCAGCAGAAACTTTAGTCAAACATCTACAAATCAGCCCAGTTTGTTCGGACCAGTTTGTTCGAAACACTCTGAGCTAAACCTCCTAAGGCAAACAAACAAACAAACAAACAAACAAACAAACAAACAAACAAACAAACAAACAAACAAACACACAACAACGTGATACACACGCCCACACAGCTGCCACAAGGCTAAACCCGTTAAGAGGGGTGAGGCAGCCATTTCTTTGGGACCAAGGAATTCCTCTCTGGAGTTCAGGCAAAGGAAAAGAGGGCTTTCTCAGCATTTCGAACATTTCCGTGCGCGCGGAATGTGGATTCGTCTGGGCGACGGGATGAAAAGATCCCGCTGGGCGATCTCGTCGCCCTGGTAGACGACGGGCGTACCAGGTAACAAGTTGAAGAAGGCGTAGACCTCACGGCTTGCCGATGTGAAGGAGAACCCCAAACGGTTTTCCAACAAAATATGTGGATTTCCTGTGGGTTTCCAGGGTTTTGTATGGCTTCCCAGGGCGTATTTGACCCTCAAACCCTGAAAGGACAACTCCAAAAAACAGAGACCCGATGGGTAGCATGGCTCACGAAGGCAACGAGGCATGCAAATAACCAAATCAACCGTATGCAGATCAACCCATACTCCACAGAAGAGTAAAGTAGGAAAGCCAGCAGCCCTGCAGGTGGGCAAAATAAATATCCAGGTCCTATAGAATAATGTGGACTATGTCCGAGGGATTCTTCTGAATACCGAACATACTGGAACAGTAATTTGACCATTCCCATGGACATGCTCTTAAGGGCATGGAGCCGCTATCATGTGATCACAGGTGTTAGTCAGCTTTCTGTGGAGAACCCCCTGTTGTTGGGTTCCATGTTAGTTTACAGAGGAACACGTTGGTATTCGTACCCGATCCATCTGTAACATCGCCTCTGACGACTCGGGTTGTGACAGGGGGCTGATGCATGGAGGATGTCCTGCGCAAACTACTACCAAATTGAATGTAGATGCTTGTTGCTTCTACGTACCTGAGGTGGTGGGAAATGCCTTGCATGAACGGGTATGTAGAACCTAGATCAGCCAGTCATGTGTGGATGCCCGGACAGCTTCGGCAACTTGAAACACTCGGAACATGAGGACTAGTCACAAGCAATTCATGCATAGCCACACGGAGCAGGATCATGCCTTAAACTCGACCGGTGAAAAACAGGCACGGAATACACCAAGCTCGTAAGTAGCTCGCAAGACGACATTCTATATATATATATATACATCCTTGCGGAATTCTGGCAGGCCCTTGTAAGAAGAAATTCTTCTCAGCCGATACTCCTTCTATAAGGCTCAGACAAACATCCATGCGCTGTTGCTAGAGCCTTCCATTGGCACCAGCCTTTTGTGCGGTTTGGCGTGCTTTCATCGGGTGAAGAGTGAAGGGTAGCGGCCTTCAAGTCAGTATCTTTCACACCCAGGGCACCGCACAGAAGTTGACAAAGAGGGGCGAATCTGGCGCGCCCAACCAAACGTGAGCCCTCCATGCTGCCCGAGGTGCCGTGGTGGCCAGCCGAGTGTTGTTCCGCAGCCTCTGCATAAGCCGGTGGTTGTCGTGGTTGCCCAGCACCCAATTTCCATGGCACCAGTCCTGCGGGTTCAAAGACAGAAACAGCCCTTCCCACCGCCTGTTCCCTCGTGGGATTTTGACAGACCACCTGACTGAATAAAATGGAATGAATGGAATGAACCTGGAGCGAGGGCCAGCACGATGCTGACGAGGCAAACATGAAGCCAGCCAAACTTGAAGTCACTCAAAACCTCTAGCCCTTTGCTTCACAATGGTCCCTACCAAAAAAAACAGAAAACAAGGCCTTGCATCAGCGCGGATCAGGGAGAAATCAGCGCCCTCCAAGAACCCAAAGTGCCCCACCCAAAACATGCATAGTTTGACAGGCCCCTCTTTTTCAGATTCCCAGGTTGATTCTCAGGGAAGTGGAATTCTGATTCGCAAGGTGCAACCAACGATCCCTGGGGAAAGAGGGAAGCAAAGGACAACTGATATCCGTTGAATCCATTCATCTTCAACCAAACATCCTCGAGATTACCCCACCCCGCAAAAAACTGATTTTGGGAACCCTCAAAATGCCCGCCCACTTTGACCCAGACCCCCAAACCCCCCAGGTTGCTCAGTCCGGCAGGGCTTCGGCGTAGCTGCGCACGGCGTCGCGGACCACCTTGGCCACGCTGAGGTCGTTGGGCTGCCCGTAGTTCTGGCCCAGCACCTGGAAAAAACAATATGGCGCTCAAAGTAGCGGTTTGGCCCCTCAAACAGTTGGTGGCCGCTTCAGTGCGTTTCAAGGTCCGCCACTTTCCCTCAAAAACCCGTCAACGGGCTTGGGTTCCTTTGCAGGGTCGATACATGACAAAAAGTCAGGGGATTCGGCGATTTAACTTTTGTGTAGTACAATAATAACTTAAATAATTATGTTTTTAGTACTTCAGGTACGGAATCGCTGGGCGCTCTCCGGAAAAGCTGTTGCGCACGCGACAATCAAGCGAAGCGAACTGAATCGCCAAGGAGATATTGGCATAATTCACTCAGATCGGGGGTCTGTTTGGTGTCGCGTAACTGTCACGCAGATCAACAGATTCAGACGCAAATGTCTCAACGCTTCTGACGCGATACATTCAAGTTATGTCTGGACTGACAACCGTTACATGCTTGAGCTCACCAACGTGAAACTGATGACAACTCCAAAGGTACGAAATGAGACAAGACATCTCTGGCGTCTAGCTCAAAGCAGAGCCCTTGAAACTTCGAGCGCGAAACCGCCCGCCTCGAAGTTGAATGGCACGTTAAACTCGGGCTTCTCAGGGGTGCCTCGCGCTCGAGGCAAGCTGATCAGGCTGTCAAGACTGCAGGTCTGTGTCCGTCAACAGTATGACAGGGTGCCTTCAGGATACCAGCTGGGCCCAGTCAGAGAATCATCCACATGCGAACTGATTTAGGGGATACTGGTCAAGCAGGTGTTTTCCTGACATATCCTTTAAGGAAGCCTGTACAGGCACTATAAATTGCACGCGAAGGTGCACACTCAATCTATCAAAACCCCGCAAGCACTTTCATACCCGTTGTCCAAACCTATACTAACGGTTGGATTAGCAACCCTGTGACCTCTTGTGAATGGTCTTTAGAATTTTTCTGCAACACCCATCGAAAGGGCAGCAAGCACCTCTCTTTTCTGCCAACAAGACATTCAAAACTTGTTTTCAGGAGCACGTGACAACGCAAGTAGCTTTCTCATTTGGCCAGAAATTGTGGCCATCCCAGTCATGCCGCACACGCATTTTGGGCAGAGAAGGCCATATGTCCTCTTCAACGAAGCAAGCGGCACGTCGCAGCCATAGGTGTCGTTCTGGAAAACTAGGCGGAACTGATACATGACTAGAACAAAGCAAAAAGCAGCGCAATCCAATCTATGTTCAACCAAACTCACTTAAAGGGGACACCTATGGTTACAGCATGGACTTGGAAGCACTGGAAACAGGGTTCCAGTGTTTGACTACCCGAAGATCGGCTGACTGAAGTGCAGCTCAGGCGCCGTAGTACTCCATGAGGTCTTTCAGCGGTGCATAGATTTCCCCAAAGATCACGCGCTCACCGTACTGGTCGACCTCGCTTGATCGCGTGCGACAGCCTTCGAATCAACCGTGGTCCTGAGGATTGACAAAAGCTGCAAGTGGGTTCCTTGTGAAAAATTGAAATGAATCCAAAGTGATTTACCTGATGGATTCCTAAAAAGTAGACCAGGTAGTCGCAAAAAATGGAAACCCCATTTCTTCCGGAAGAAAAGGATCAACTGGGGGACAACCTGACTGTTGCCCTCTCAGAACTAAAAGAGTGACGAAAAAGCAAGACTGAGACCCCCAGCGAAACAGCTGAACTGTGACTAAGGGAGGCTTGCAGGCGCAGCGTTTCTTGTCATTCTTGCCCCAGCAATCCCTCTTGGCCCACCTATCTCCAGGAACCAAGACTGGAATCGGACAAGAAAGAGCCACTGCAGCCTCAACCTGAGGATGTGTCTCTGGAAGTGGCATGACACCAACAGCAGGCCATAGCAGGCTTTTCAATCTCATGACCTGCATACGCACCCAAGAGTCATGCACAGCCACTATCTAGATGCCGACCAAGTACCACTCTGGCACGACTTTTCGTCCAAGCACAAACATACACCAACAACCATGTTCGCCCAGAAGGCCCTCTGCGCGTGGCCGTGGCTGTATATATATATATAGACATATATATATATAGACATAAAGGTATTCTTGCCAAAATTCATGAACACTTGCCGGCTTGTGCCCTCTCACCATTGGAAAACTCAGTTGCATTCCCCACAGCTTGCGAAGGGCGCAACGTTTTGTCGTCCTTGGGCTCACGGGAAAACGACGTCGCATGCCTGGCAAACCTCTCCACGCAGTGACGCAAATCTCACTAGTGTCGCACTTCGTCACCTCTGGCGGTCTTGCACAAATGCATGACGAAAGCTACACACGGCTCCACTGCCATGTTACCATAATGTTGTTCCGGAAATCTTAAGAAAAGTGTTTTCTTTACTTAGATGCTAGTGATTCTGGGGGTGTCGGCCAATTGAGTCTACGGGCCAGCGCGACATCTACTTTGATCAACGGAAAAACACTTTCGTTCCTCAAATCCTGGTGACGGTGGGTTTGCCGAAGGTGTCGACCCTTTTGTTCTTTTCTTCGACAAGGGGAGGACAAACATAGACAAAAGTCACCAAAAGAGCTCAACAGAACAGACACACACGTCACCCCGAGGGCTCGGCCGTCTCCCGCCAGCCCTGGATGATCTCATGGTTCTTGGGGTCGTTCTGGGTGTAGTTGTGCACCCTGAGCCATGGATTTGGGCGGCTCCCCATATTCTCCTTATCCCCTGTCCAGTTGGCAGAGGGAAATCATGAGAAAAAAGGACCTAAATTTCAGGAAGCCCTGGGATGCTTGCAAAGGGGACCACTTGAAAGATGGTTCCTACTTACATCCATCCAAGAATCACGGAACCTGACAGGAGGGCTTTGGAAGACTACTGCCCTTGTGGGGAGCCCCCTGTCCGTTGCCATGATTGTTGGAAGGAGTGTGCCCAAGTAAGTACAGATCAATCCTATCAAGCTGTTCCAGGCAGGGCCAATGTGCCGAAAAATGCCAAGACCTCTCCAACTCCCAGGTATCTGTTGCACGGGTTTTGCTGGTGGCTTCTCGGGGTCCATGCCCCAGACGCAAGAGCTGCCTACAGTCGCCTGAGAAACGTCCAAACGCCTTTCAACAACCAGCCCTTCTAGAAGAAAGGAGCCACTCCACACACTATTCGGAGAGGACAGAGATTAGGCCTCTGTGTAAAGCAAGGAACCCTCCAACATGCTGGGCTTCCATGATGGCGTTCAGAAATCCTCCCAATGGATCCTCCCCATTAGCCTCAAGGAGTCGGGATCAGAACACACGCCATCTCCCGCCTTTGGGCTCTAAGCCATCTTGCCACACTCCCATTGATCTTTGTGGAAAAGCAAAAAAGACTTGCCAACAAGCTTGAAAACGAGGCAAATAATATGCAAACTCTGGTCCAGTCCCGTTCCAACCTGTGAGGGTTCAAGCCCCATCCAACTCCAACGCAAGGGAAGCATGAGGTGTCAGGAACAATGGCTCACATGGGTTTGTCTCAAAATAGAACCTTCAAATGGTTTACCATGTTTACCTATGCGAGGATTGGGGGCTTCAAGGGGTACTGGACTGGCCCCCCAACTTCGGCCACAGGCGCATGCAGTTCCAGATCGGCTGCGTCTTTGCACAGGCGGCATCGAAGGCCTGCGGATCGAGCTGCATGCGAAGCGACTGGCCCAGCGTATGGGTCGCCTGTTCCTCAGCTTCCCTCAAAAAGGGCGGCTTGGAATGGGTAGTTTGGAGGTGCAGTCCCATTGCCCTCTGCAAGAGTTCAACTCCCCAAACCACAGCTGTTCTGCAAAAGAAAAAGAGAGATGACAAAAAAGTTGAGAGAGTTCCAATAAGGGCCCCGTGGACATGATTTACAAAGGATTTATTATACAGTATAGTTGGCAGTGCTCTACTGTGGTTGACGAAGCATAGGTGAGAATCAAAGAAGGCGCACCTCTCCTCGGGGCCTGTAAGTGACTTGGGGCTCCATCATCAATCAATGCATGCTCCCACCCCACCCACCCACACCCACCCACACCCACCCACACCCACCCACACCCACCCACCCACCCACCCACACCCACCCACACCCACCCACACCCATCCACACCCACCCACACCCACACACCCACCCACACCCACCCACACCCACGTCTGGTGAAAGGCTCAAGGAAGGAGGTGCAAGGTTTTTGAGGTTCCAAAGAGACACTGTACCTCAAAGCCAGCCAAAAGCACTCTGGCCGAGGCAAGCAACGCGAAGTTTACAATAAAAGCACAAAACAACTGCTTGATGTCTTTTTCTCGGCGGCCTCGTCGCGCAGCTCAGGGTCCTCCAGGAGGAAGGGCACCGCGTCGATGCGAAAGCCTCCCACCTTGCGTCATCAGGGAGTCCAAACCCACCACCCAGAAAAGGCCACAACAAAGAAACTGCCCACTGCTCTCCACCAAAAAAATGTTTAAGAAAAGCAAGAACAAGTTACATTGTTCCAAAAAACTTGAATCCTTACCATTTACCTCAGTGAATAGGGTGGGGTCCATGCTCTTGGAACAAAACTGGCCACCGGACTTCTCGGTCAGGAATACGTGGCTCTTCAAGTTGCCATGGCTGGTCTTTGGTCCTTGAAAGAGATGGCGTCAGGCTTGCCTTTGGTTTATCTCAATCCATTGCAAAAAAAAAACTCACCAAATTGTCTCCTAGGCGAAAGGAAATCGGGTTACAAAAGTGTCTGAGAAAAAAGTAGTCACCATCCTGGCTTCATGGGGTACAATCATGAGCAAGTTGGGCTTTACCAGTGTCAGCAGTCTTTGCGAGATCGAAGTAAAGAACTACTGGCTCTCATCACACTTTCAGCTTGTGCTCTCAAAAAGACATGAACGCCGAGTCACCCAAGGCTTCCCGAGATGAAGCTGATTTAAAGCCATGGCATTTTCGGCAGGGCTGCTATGGCTCGCCTTGGTATGGCTCTAGGATACCGGTATGGCCCTGTTTCTCCCAACAGTCGGCTCCGTTCCCCTTTTTTGGCCAAGCAGCGCCGAGATCCAGCCAGAAGCGCAGCACCTCCTTCATTGCCTTGAGCCCAGGGGAAAACACAAATTCAGCCGGCCCAGAAGAAACTCGCCTGAACGAAGTACTGTATATATATATACACATACCCGCTTGTGTATGCACTCATAGACAAATAGTTGCTAAAGTATGTGCATGTGTATATATATATATATATTCAGACATGCATATACATGCACATGTATGTATGGAAGATATGTGTGTCATGTATCAGCATACATTGTAATATGGTGGTGAGACAGCACTTGTGAATCATATATTGGCAAAGTGTTGGCATACGTACTTCACAGGTTTGCTCCGTAAAAAGAAAGGCAAAGTGCAGCCATGGAGATGGACATGGTTGGGATCGAACTGTGCTGCTTCTCTCAAGTATGCCAGGGAATACTCGCCGGTGGACAGCAGTGGATAAGCGTGGACGAAAGGCCTTTGCGCAGTTTCCTCGAGCTCGCCGCTCCAGAGGGGTCACCACGCAACCAAACCACCCAACCCAAACCCGAAATGCGCAAGAGCAACCAGGGCTACGTTTGGGTGTGTTTGGGTGTGCAACCTGCAATCGCAAACCAGCACCACCACCACCACCACCACCACCCCCACCACCCCCACCGCCACCACCACCCAAACATGCACCCCTTGAGAAAAACCAAAATAGAACAAAACTGGGATAAGTCGTTGTGCTTCAGGCTGGCAGGTTTATCCTGCAACTGGTTTCCTTTAGCAAGAGCCTGACGAAGCTTCTGCCCAGCGAAAAGGCCGCCGGCCCACCCAGCTGCGCCTCGACAACCTCTGGGTTGCGGTAGTTGAGGTCCGGCTGGAACTCGCCGAAGGCGTGGTAGTAGTACTCCTGATCTTTGCTCGGACACGGCTCCCGAGATTTTCTGTAAACTTCACACCAAGAACAAACTCAACGACCTGAAAAAGATGGACGCAAAAATAGTCTCCCTTCCGATTCCCCTTAAATCAACATCAAAAGGGGCACCTGGTCTCTGCTAAAATGCAGAGCCCCCCCTGACTGCTGTGCTTTGTAACTTGGCAACTCAGGAAGTAGCCCCAAAATCACATGGTCCGCAACCATGCTCCTCATGAGCTTGGGCAAGAAGAGAGATTTAGACCCAAGAAATGCTTGGGTTTTCATAACGAGTATTCTCTAAAGACATTGCTCCAAAATAGGGGGGAAGGAGCCACAATGGGTGGGTTTTCCTGTTGGTGTGCCTTCGAAACAACCACTATATAAGTATCCCACCAACAAAAATATGCAGGTTAGCCTGTTGGCTTCCCTTGAAATCAACCAACCTCAAGCAGGTACTTTCAAAAAAGCACACGCTCCGCTTTTCCAGGCGCTGGAGCAGCGAGCATGAGAAGGTCTAGCAGCGCTGGGAACTTCCAAAACAGAAAGGCAGCACGAAGAAAAGCAACGATCTGCTTTCCTTCTGGAATTCCGATACCTGAAATAAGAATCGGATCCCCAAGTAAAGGACCTATATCATGTTGAGCTCATTTTGAACAAGCCAATCGGCGAGCTCGCCATAAGAAAGGCAGTCTATGTCGGACATCTCCCCGAAATTGCCCCCAGCCACAAATCAGTGAGGTTTCACAAGCAGCAAGCCGAATGGGCCTGCATTCCCATTTGGTGATGAATTCCCTACGCCAACCATCAACTTATGCTGGTGTACTTCCCATGAGGGCTGAGTCAGGTTCAGGTTGACGGGAGTCAAAGTTCAAGGAACAAAAACACCAGATCATTCATCCGGCCACATCCCACTCATCCATTCCCTTTCTCGCCGCTTAATCTAGACAGGGAGGGAAGAGATGAGAGTGTGTGATGGGTGCGGGCTGGAAGGGAATAGACCCAGCCTTATCACTCACCCATCCATCTCTTCCCTTTCCCTCACTAATCCTCGCCAAAAGGCTGTGGGGCGAGGTAGGGAAAGGAAGAGGTGAATGATGGTGAAGAATGGAGACGGTCAGCCTGTTGGATTCTGTGGGTGCGCCTTTGTGGACGCTTTCGCAAAGGTTCCGATTTGTCTGTCACAAGAAACGATCCCAGCCACATCCTGTCCAAAATCTGTCCAGCTATTTAAGGAGACCCCATCAACTCGAAACAACCTGATTCAATCAAAGCGTGGCTCTGAGCCCCCCCCCTCCCCAGGTGTGCCGGGGTCAAATTTTGGCACACCCTATGGGTATGGGCAAGCATAAATTAGAGATTGCCGTTGGCGTTTTCCATTTCTTCTGAAAAATGACGGTGCTAAGGATCGGTCGAAGTTTCCGGTATATGGTCGAAGTTTCACCACCAGGGGGGGAGGGGGTCTTCGCGCCGACAAAACGAGAAGTCTACGCCCCGAGTGGCTTTTGGCCGGCCCCTCCTCCGTCTTCTCATCCCAGGTCCAAGAGGAGCCCAAGCCGCCCCCAAAGTTGGAGGCCCAGTTGTTGGGGGGCCGCCGCTCCCCGTCCACCACCACCCCTGCGTCAGTCACGGTCGGGCAGATGGGGCACACCCAAATAGTTGTTGTCGACCTGGTAATCGTTTGAACCCCTGAGTACCTGATGATTCCAGTAAGTATCAAACTCAATGTCAATACAGCTTTATGCGATGCTAGTCTGCAAGCTGACCGTAACATGAGCTCCAGCTTCTTGCTCATTTCTCATCGACTCTTCACCCTCTCTTTGCCCCAGCCGGAAAAAATACGATGCACAACAAACAACTTGTTCAGAAGACTGGGTGATTGGTTTTCCAGAGGACACCGACTGTGAATAAATGCCTAAGCAAAACGCCGCAGCCCTGTCCAGTTTCGGGGACCGCAGTTGCGAAAGGACGAAAACCACAAGGAGACGGAGGCCGCGACGCGAGTTTTGCAATCCCGCCTGGGTGCCACATGTACCAGTCGCGCTTGGGGCTTGTCTTCGAGGATCGCGACTCCTTAAACCACTCGGACCTCAGCTGCAGAAAGCAAAACGGGGAAACGGGGGGAAAGAGAGAGGGAACAGGGGCCGAAATGGGCGCGGGGTCATTTGCCACACTCTTTTGCAATGAAACGCTGGAAAGTTGGAACTTTGAACGTTCGGGCCTTTTGGCCCGTTGGTTTACAGTTGGCCCAAACCTGCCTACCACTGTTTGTTCGAAAGAGTGCAGGATCGGCTGACAGGACCATCTCTCCTGCCTCCAAGAAATCAAGCAGGCAGAAGATGTTCCCTAGTCGTCACCCAGCTGCAAGACAGAACGGGCCAGGACATCAATTGTCTGTCAAACGGCCCTCAACCGCCACAACAAGAAAGAGCTTCGCCACCCACTTCATGATCCGTGAAAAAGTGTCAACATGTTGCATGGTTTCTTTCAATCAAAGGCGGCTCGATTGGGGAAGGTGGCTTTATACTGGTTCAGAAGTACGCAGCTGCTTTCCCACCCTTACAAAGAGGTACTTATTGGTATGGGTGGATGACTCGCCTAATTGCCACTAGAACACGAGGGCAACGCGTCAAATTGCCATCTCAGAAAACGAAGGCCACTCACTAGGGAACCACCTCAAAAGAGGTTAGTGGACAGAAGGTCCCCCATCTAAATTCACACCTATGTCACTTGAGGGCGTCTGCTGAATATTAATTGATGTGTACATATATATATATATACAATATATATGTGCTTATAGCATGCACAACTACAACATGCGGCAAGGCGCCCGGAGTTGGGGGATTCGCTGGTGCTAGCCGCTCCACAAAGCTACACTCAATATCTCTGTGAAAATGGGAAGCCAGGCGAAGACCAATGTTGCTGGTTGCGGCGAGCGGCCCAAATTTGAGCTCATACAAAAAGTTATCCTTGGGGCCAAACATATCGCATTCCCTGCATGTCAGGAAGCCTCACAGTACTTCCGGGGTGATGTAATGTGCCAAAGGTCGAAAGGCTACACCAGGGTCAAAGTACATCGCACAAGGGATTGGGTAAGTAAAGGGGATGACCAAACCAAGATGGGGGGCGGGGGATTGTGCCTGCTTTCACCCAACTGTGAAGGTCGGACCCAACGAGGCAACCCATGATTGTGGCACCTACCCTTTTCTATACATCTCCAACCTGCCCTCTCTCCGGGCAGCAGAGCCATACGGCAGCTGCTCATTTGATCCAAAGGGCGCGTTGGAGCTGTGGTTGGGCACAAAGTCCTGGCGCGAGAAAGGCTCATTGATCGCAAGCCAACCGTCGCCAAATGAGGCTGGCCTCTCCCTTGGCTGAAAACCCATCCTTCGGAGGCGTTGCCTTTCGAGACTTTGGGGATTTGCTTCCAGGACTCGAAGCCTCCCGTCTGGACCTATGCTCCGAGGCGCCATGAGGAGCTTGATGCCCAGTTTCTCGGCCGCGGCAATAAGGTCCTTCATATCCTGGCTTTGGCCATGGATCTCCGAACGACCAAAGCGGGAGAAGTGCACTGTCGTCAAAACATCCATGGATGTCTGTATATACATATATACATATATATGTATATATGTATATATGTGAATTTTGATGCGGGGCCTTTGGTGGATACGATTTGGGTGGACATTTATGTCCACCAAACACTTGTGATGTGGTTCCCTATTCAAATTCTTTGCCGCATCACTTAGGCAAGGAGGCGAAACGTGTCATCTGGCCATAGAGAGGCCCCATAGTCACATGCAGACTTAAGGACATCAAGGCACTGAAACCTGTTTCTGAGCAAATGAACAAATGTCAGAACTGGACATCAGGAAATGAAAGCAACGCTGTGAGTGCTGTGGAAAGACACATCCCCAAAAAGCTCAGAATGATCATTTCGCACACCTCTGCATTGGGACACGCAAAGAATAGATCAATGATAAAACCCCAATCCCCGAAAAATACAAGAAGATGTGGAATTTGAAAAGCACCCAACTCAGGGAAATCCTTCAAAAAGTACATGTTAATTGGGGAAAAAAGGAACCCTCCAATTAGCCAGGGTCTCGCACAACAAATGATCAGTATGTGCAATGAGACCAGAAAAAAATGGCGAAACAAGCATGTCCAACTCCTCCTCCGAACCGCGAATCCGCATTCCCCTGACTTGACTAGCCTGCATTGACCCAAAGAGGGGGTCCACTGCATGGAAATCCGCGATGTCGTAGCCTCGGGTTCGCCCGTTGCACTTGGCTTGTGAGCAACGCACCCTCAGAAGTTGAAGAACTCTTGGACTTGGTGACTCTTTTCCCCACATTTGCGCCAAAGGGACCCTTAGAATGAAACGTCTCTGATTCATAAACAGGGTGTCCCGTTTCACCGGGAAGTGGTTGCAGTGCAGCCTCCAATTAGTTTCCTGCAGGCGCGCGCACTTGTGCTTGAACACCTGCATTTGCCAAATACACCATCTTTCAAGTGCACTTGCCTTTTCTTTCAGACAGCACACAAGGCAAGCTCCACATAGAATCATACTCAATACCCTGTACTTACAGCTAGCTTACTCAGCCATGCTGGCGCCATGATCTTGGTCCCGATGGCTTCTCCCCTCTCCGGACACCCCTCTGCCTGGCCCGTTCTGGGCGCCGGTTGCTACAGGAACCAACCAGTTGAATAGCTTACGGCCAGAACGCATGTTTGCTCTGAACATAAAATGGAGGAATTGCACCACCGCTCCCCCAACATATGGCTGTCTCAAAATTATGGAATTCCTGCAAATGGCCGGTGTAGGTGTATTCTTAGATTCCCTTCAAAACCAGCCAAAATAGTGTTCCCAAAAAATATGCTCGGGAAAAAAAGAAAAGAAAGAATGTGCCGAACACCCGCAGGATGCTGTATTTTTGGACGAGTGTCCGAAGTCCATCATGGGGCTCTTCATCACCGGCGACAGCCACAGGAAGCCGACCCCCAGCTCCTGGCGCAAGCTGTACCCTCAAAATGGGCAAGCCACAAATCAGCAGTTCTAAATGGAACAGGCAAACGCTGCACCAGAATTCCCCTCAAGAAAAAAAGGTTGATGGCCCATCCAAGTTTCCCAGAAAACAAGCACGTGTCACGCCCCAAAAGCTTCTTTACTTGGAATTCGAA